ACTTCTAGGCCATGAGGAGTATTTGAGTCTCTCTTAACATGTTATAGCTAAATGCTGCCAGCTGATTATAACAACTATGTGCTGTTGCTACTACCACTTCCATGTGCTAGTAATACCCAGTGAGTAACTTCATCACCGGTTATGTAAGTGGACAATTCGGGACTTAGAACCACTATACATTATTGGTACTCAGTGACCAGGGAGTAGGTGACTACAGCGCCCCAAACTATAGTCTAGAGGGAGTCTCCCTTGCTTAGTTAGCACCTGTCAATCCTTGCTATTTATTCTCTCATGCCCAAGTTTACAACAGTAATGGAAAAAGCATGCGAAGAGGACAGTAAATTCAAATAATGAAAGAAGGAGGGACAACTGTCTTAAATGTTAACAGAAGCATTAAGGTAGCTCAAAACCTTCGGTCAAATTATTGAATTGAGTCTATCTGCTAAACATCAGGGATTGTTAACTATAAATATAAAACCAGAGAGATAAGAAGGTTGCAAATTTTTTGGTATCAAAACTATTTCAGCATATCTTTAGGTATTCATAGTGCTTTGAATACTATATTATTTTTAAATGAGCTATGAAATATAAGTCCCTTTAGCATGCTTATTCAATTCTTACTTCTTTTTTTTCTTTTAGAGATAAAAATGTCTTGTTTTTTGTTTTGTTTTTAGTTTTTGCCATAGAATGTATGTACTTGCCAGTGAAAGACACAGCAGAGCAAGAGAGAGAAAGTGAGAAATCACCCCCAGGAGGGTTGGCCACATGGTAATCCCTTTTCCATTCTCCTCTTAGATTCTGGGCATGCACGCACACGTGTTTGGTGTGATTCTCAAGCCACCAGATCTGGGACCACAAAGCCATCTGGGATCTAACACGCTAACATCCACCCCACCTGCTGGCCCTATGTTTTGATTTTTAAATCAAAGGTAATGGAAAAAACCGAATTCACTTAAAAGAAATTTGTAGAAAGGAATCTGCATTTAGGTTCATTGTGATTTGGGATCTATAGCTCTTTTTTTTTTTTTTTTTTTTGAGAGGTTTTTGCTATAGGGCATGTGCGCTCGCCAGACAGACGGAGAGAGACAGAGAGACAGCAAGTGAGAAATCACCCCCCAGGGGGGATGGCCACACCATAATCCCTTCTTCTCCGTTCTCCTCTCAGGATCTTGGGCACGCATGCACATGCGCCAGGCATGAGTTTAAGCCACCGGGTCCGGGACTCGAACCTCGGTCGACTACATGGGAGTCCAACGGCATAGCCATTACGCTAACTGCTGGTCCCAGGATCTATAGCTCTTTAATCACTGGTATTAGTTTATCTTCCTTTCATCTTCAACATCTGTTCACCAAAGTCTAATTTTCTATACTTTTTATATGATAGAAAGATCTGGGTTTTTTTTTGTTTGTTTTTGGTTTTTTTTTTTTTGGAGAGGTTTTTGCTATAGGGTGCGTGTGCTCACCAGACAGACAGAGAGAGACAGAGAGACAGAAAGCGAGAAATCACCCCCCAGGGGGGATGGCCACACCATAATCCCTTCTTCTCCGTTCTCCTCTCAGGATCTTGGGCACGCACATACACGCGCCCGACGTGAGTTTAAGCCACCGGGTCCAGGACTCGAACCTCGGTCGACTACATGGGAGTCCAGTAACATAGCCATTACGCTAACTGCTAGTCCCAAGATCTGTTTTTATATAATAGAAACCTTTAGGAGTCAGGATGCGAGTCAAACGGGAAAAAATTTAAGTGTAAAACTCCTGAAGCTGGTATGAAACAGGATGAAGCAGCAGCCCGGTAGAAATGGCATGGGGCAGTGTGGGGCTGGTGGCTGGGTCAGTTAAGTACGGTTTCCTGCTACCACTGACATGCTTTTTCACAAAGCAGTAGTACTTTTTCTTTCTTTCTCTCTGTTTCTCTTATATATTTGCAAGAACAGTTACGATCTAGAAAACATGCTTGTTATTTACTCAGAAACCAGGGAAGATGGGTCAGGTGCCCCTCAGTGCTGATAGCCAAGATGCAGACAGATCAAAAGCGAAATCCAATTTAACCCACCTCAGGCAGAAAAAGTAATTGAATTAAGCTTCCTCTAAATATGATAAGTTTGGGGCTCTTAAAGCCAGGCACAAAGAACCAGGTTAGAGTGTGCTGTTAAGTAAATGGCTGCATTGAGAGCTCGCTGCCCCGCCCACGGGGAGTTTGATAAGCTGTTGATTGCCTCTATCACTTTACTAGGAGGCTGAAAACTGATTAAGCTGCTTATGGGGCTCTGGGGGCTAATGGCCTGGCCCACCAAGAATATGGTTGCCACTGATTTAAGTAAGCTGCTTGACGTGTATGGTTTGATTATTACAAGGGGGAAAAAGGACAGCAGGGTATAGGAAAGCTTTAAAAAGCAAGCTTTATTATTCAAAATGGATACACTGCTCTGATACTATAAGATGAATATGGAATTACTCTGATTCTTTGTATTTGTCTGACATCAAAACTCATTTTTGCAAGGTTCACTTAAAGAGTACTCTCTTCTCTCTCTCTCTGTCCCTCTCTGGTCAAGTTAAAATAAATAAATAAATAAATAAATAAATAAAGTTAAATAA